ACGGGGTGGCTCCTGCATCCGGGGGGTGCCACCGTCAGTGCTATGTGCCCATGTTAAGCCCTGGGAGGTAAACTGAGGCACATGGGGGGGGCACCTGTCCACTGATTCCTCTCCTGTGCCCACAGTACCTGCATGAGGGCAGCGTGGAGGATTTGGTGCGGCCGCTTCTGGCCATCCTGGACCGGCCTGAGAAGGTCTTGCTGCTGCGGGATGTGAGGTGGGTGGTGCTGTGGGGGTATCCTGGGATACCCCAGTACCTTGGGATGGACTTGGAAACTCACACGCACTCTTCAACCTTGGTCACAGTCTGTCCCAGAGGCTGCCACAGCCTGTGCCCTCTCTTTGCCCTGACAGGAGCGTGGTGGCCACCACAGACCTGGGCCGGTTCGACAGCATGGTGATGCCCTTGGAGCTGGAAGCCTTTGATGCCCTGAAGAGCCGCTCAGGTAGAGACTGGACCCCCAGAGACCTTAGCCAGGGGGGTAGGCAGACGGGTGGGTACAGTTCGGAGGTGACCAGTTGCTCTCCCTGACTGCAGTGCGCTCACCTGCCCTCCGCCCAGCCCACCATGATGTCCCCCCCAAGAGACACCTCATCACACCAGTGCCTGGTGAGTGCCATCCCACAGGATCTGCCTGGCCACAGGGCTGCCCTGTGGTGGGGGCCACCCTGTAGTAGGGGGTGCAGTGTGGAGGGGGTACAGGGGCAATCTGGGGGAGGAGAAAGGGAGGTGGGATGCCTGGGTGCAGGTTGTCACAGGAGAGAGGGCATCTGATGTCACTGGGTGTTAGAAAGTCTTGGAGTAGCAGGATCTGTGAATCCTGGGTGCCAGGTCTTTGGAGGAGGATCTGGAGTCCGTGGAGAGAGATGGGGTGGGTGCCTGAAGGTCCCTGGGCATCAGAGGTCCTAGGCAGGGTTGCTCTGTGTATCTGTATGTCCCTGGAGAAGGAAGAGCTGGGGCCCTTCGTGCCAAGAGAATCCCTAGGAGGCAGAGGTCCCAGGGCTTTGGGGTCCACAGGAGTTGCTTGGGTCGTGGGGAGTCCCAGGGGTCAGGGCTGTGGGGTCCCAGGGCATTCTTGGGTGGTGGGGTCCCACAAAGCAGGGCTGTGAGGTCCCAGGGGGGTCCCTGAGCCCCTCTCATTGCAGACTATCGGGGCGGGTTCCTGC